CTCTTTTCCCACTGCAAGATCATCATTACAGGGATACATACACAAAAGCAGGTAATGCATCATACTGAAAATAACTGCCAATTATTTCAGTAACCTGAACAAAATCAGGGATTATCCCATGTTCTTTTTGGACATACAACTTAGATTGAAATTTATTTTGCTTAATTTTAACTGCTCAAAACACATGTGTTTAGCTCAGCCTAGTCAACCATGTGACCTCTGGAGGTAAAGGGAAGAGAAAGAAGTCTCCAYGATGCCATTGACCCCATCTACYTATCTGAGATCAAGCTATACAAGTTTCTGTCTTTATTGACCAGCAAGTGAAATTCTATTAATTAAAATGAGATGCTTAATTTTCAGATGGCAAAACTAAGGTCAGGTCAGATGGGTTCCCCCCTCCACCTCTTTTACTGGGTATGTGATTGCATTTTGCACAGCTCTAAAAAGGAGCATATATTTCAGCAGATGTGCTAAAGGCATAATGACATTGGTTGAATCCAGTTGTTCTTGGGATTCTCTGTTTAGGTGGTCACCAGAACATTAAACTGGACAAAAAGAGACTCTATTCCTGCAAAAATACACATCTGACTTGTCATGGTCTGAATTAAACAGCAAGTGAKGTTAACTGTCCTTGCAAAATAATCAGGCACTATTGATGGCTAAGACATACAGACAGAGAAATGGATGAATAAAGATAGAAACATACTCATAATGCAAACAGTTAATGCAATTCACTGYAAACTGCCTCACCTTCACTACCAATATAACTACTTACAAATCTCTAGCATGCATAGGCTTTACAGTTTTAACTGTTACTTGTGCAAAGATGTATTTTATCTATTATAAAAGATAGTTTTAGAGTTATAGAAGTTATAGAAGTTATAGAGTTATAGAGTTCATATATTACCATTATCTTTATATTTATTACATATAGTTTGCCTAAATATGCACTGTAAAAACAGAGCAGAGTTCCTAAAAACTTGCAGATTCTTCAATTTGRTACAATTTGTCTTTTCATTAATTAGCCATCCCTTTTCTCAATGACCTCAACCTGCCAAGGTCTGTAACAGCACCTAGGGGATTAAAAGTTGCTTTTGTATTATTGAGGTAACAATATAAAAGAAAAACGTTGAGATAAAGGAGGGCCCTTGCTCCAAGTCTCATGAAGATCCTACACAAAATCAGGCAGGTTATAAAACATCCTTCACTGCAGTCAGCTGAGAGATAACATGATGTAAAGGAGGTAAAATTTTGATCAAACACAGGTGTTTGGYAGAAAATTGTTTCCTAAGGAAATAAATTACAAGGTGTTTATGCCTGCTTAATCAAGATACCTCTGTTCTTCTGCTCCACAGCCAACTGTTTTTCAAGTGTTTCCCTCAGTTCTCGTTCCCTGAAGAGTTCCATCTTCAGCTCTGTTTTTTCCAGTTGGACCTGCTTCTCTTGAGCTCTGGCATTGTCTATAGCAACCTTTAGAAGACCCTGTTCAGAGATAAAGTTGGATAATATTTGGAGAATGTTAGATCAGCTGACATAATTACTAACTACTGTTATTTTCCTYGATAGWCATGTGAGATTTTAGAAAYAAAATAATTCTGTCACAGGATCAAAGTTGCCTATTAGCAGMAATTTTTAACTGGAATTAACTTTAATAGGTGGACAAAAATCTGTAAAAAGTTGGAAGTCAGGTTTTGCCAGAAAATGCAAACTTACCTCTGACTGTGCATGTAACTAAAGTGAAAAATGTGTAGGGATAAGTTTACTCTTTCTCAGAAAACTGAAAAACTGGCAGTCTCACATCACACACAGAATTCAATCTCTAGTCCAACTCAAGCCAATGAAAATTAGCAAAGGGAGAAAGTCTCTCTTAAAGCCTTGCCATTTTGCTCCTCATCCTTCTTAATTACTATTAATTTCAAATATTTACATATATGAGAGTTTCCACGGACTATAGTTATATTGGGATGTTAAGCAAAGGACAGTCACAAAGCAGGAAGATATCTCTGATTTAACAAGTCTGTTCCCTGATTTTGTATAATTATATCTCACTGTAGAAAAACAAAACACAATAATCTCTTGATTTCTTGACCTGAGATGGTTGATACAAACTCTACCTTTTTTCTGTTGTTACCATATCAGGAAATAACAATTCAGATTATTCTAAACTTCTTTTGAGAATTCCAATTTCAAACTTGCTTCTTCTTTTTGCAAGGAAATAGGATGATCCTGGCAAAGCTAATAGTGTATTATTATTAATAATAATAACTAGATAGTTAGGAGAGTGTGACAGTGAATTAGAAGGAGAAATAGAATTGAAATCAATGAACATGCAAATATCCTTTTCCATTTTCCAAAAGCCTGGCCATCAGG